TTTTAATACGGATTCCTTTAATAATTAACGAATTTATTCTATTTGGCGGTTCCACTCTGTATATACGATTTTTTGTTATACAAATATTTTTGTAATACTACTTTTATATTGCTCTACCTACTGGGAAGAAAAAGTAGGAGAGACCGGGGCTAGTTGACTAAAGGGGTTAGTTGATTAATTGCCTCTAGTTCCTCTAATGTGTAACAAATGTCGAACATAGACACAACATCTGAACTGCAAAGTCTTGCGCATCCATTTTAAAATATCGCTCTTATGGTTGCTTATGTTTTGTGTCGGTGAGAACGAGAAATCTAGAATCATCCTTGGTAAGTAATTACTTTTGTTCCCAACATTTTCGTATTATTATGTATAAAATCGTTCGTCACAAATTTCACTGAATATTTTTGAGAAGTAACATACATTGAGTATGACTTGACGTGATTTATTCGTATCTAAGTTAACGCATGTCTATCACACAACCCTCGGAATGACAGGGTGACGCATGAAGCTTGTCGACAAAGCCATGCCGGGGTTTATTGACTTAGTCGACAAACCCCAGTACTCAAATTTAACTTGCCATTTAAGTTTACATTTTACAATGGATTAATAGATTAAAATTTACTATTCTTCTTCTTCTTCTTCAAGTCCTCCTATCGGAGATTGGAAATCATTCTGGCAATTATAATTTTATTGGTTACTCGCCTGAATAGTTCAATTGAACTGCATCCAAACCATTCACGGAGATTGCGTAGCCACGAGATTTTACGTCTTCCTACGCTTCTTCTACCTTTGATTTTACCCTGCATTATATTCCTTAGTAGTTCGTACTTTTCACCTCTCATGATGTGCCCCAAGTATTCCAATTTCCTGATTTTTATGGAATTTAAAACTTCGCATTGTTTTCCTAGTTGTTAGAGAACTTGTTCGTTTGTTTTGCGATCCATCCATGATATTTTCAAAATACGTCGGTAACACCACATTTCGAATGCTTCTAGGGTTTTAGTGTTGGATTTTTTAAGTGTCCAAGCTTCAACTCCATACAAAAGGGTAGAGAAAATATAACATCGAAGCATTCTTATCCGGAGCGATATATTGATATCACGATTACAAAAAAGTTTTCTCATTCTATAAAAAGTTGACCGCGCAATTTCAATGCGGCATCTTATTTCTTTTGTCTGATCAGTATCTTCTGTGATCCATGCTCCAAGGTATTTGTACGAAGATATTTGTTCAATTTCTGTATTATCTAGTACTAGCTTAACTTTGATGTTTTGTGCTTTTGTAAATACCATGAACTTGGTTTTCTTCTAATTGATTTTTAGTCCATAATCGTTGCAATATATATTTAGTTGTTCAGTAAGGTGTTGCAGTTCTTCTAGTGTTCTGCCAGAAGGACGGTGTCGTCAGCATATCTTATGTTATTAAGTGGCTCACCGTTTATTATAAGGCCCTCACTGATCTCGGCAAACGCTAATTCTATGGCTTCACTGTATAAATTGAATAACAAGGGTGATAAAATACACCCTTGGCGGACCCCACGGCGAATCTGGATATCCTTGGTCAGTTCGTTTTCAACTTTCACTTTTGATGTTTGATTCCAATAGAGGTTACAGATGATTCTAATGTCTCTACTGTCTATGTTTTTATTTAATAAAATTTTTTAAGTCGCTTATGCTGCACTCTATCAAATGCCTTCTTAAAATCAATGAAACAGGCATATACTTCCTGATTAATATCTAAGCATCTCTGCGAAAGAACACTTACTGCAAACAGTGCATCTCGTGTTCCCAGTTCTTTCCTAAATCCCATTTGTGTATTACTTCTTCGTATCGTGATCTAATTTCTTATGTATTCTATTGTGAATTACTTTTAAAAACAATTTCAAGACATGACTCATTAAGTCTATGGTGCAATGTTCATTGCACTCCTTTGCATTGGCTTTTTTGAGAAGCAGTATGAATGTTGATTGGAGTCATTCTTTAGGTATTATACCTGTTCTATATACGGTATTGAATAGATCCAAAAGAAGATCAATAGAAGTCAGTATTCACAATTTTAAGTAATTCGATAGGAACTTCATCAGGCCCGGGAGATTTACCACCTTTAGCTTGTTTCATTGCATATTCAATTTCTTCTCGTATAATGTCAGGTCCAGTATCATCCTTAAATTCTTTTGGTGCTTCTGTTCTCTCTTTGTCTTCAAAAAGTTGTGCTATATATTGTGTCCATCTCTGCATTTTTTGGTTTATATCTGTTATAAGTGCACCCCTTTCATCTCTTAGTTGCCTAGTTTGAAGTGTTTTTCTCATTCCTGTTAATTCTCTTATTCTTTTATGCATGTTTAAAGCAAAATTTACTATTATTAAAAGTTAATATTGTAATAGTAATACCGAGGCATTTGGAAACTATTAGCAACTCTTATATTGCATATGTTTCTCCAAATGTTAATCTATCTGGAGCATTAATCGTCTTTATTTTGCAAGCGTGTGAATTTGCAGGCATAGGATATTTGGAACGTTGATGAGACGGGTATTACAACTGCTTAGAAGCCGCATAGAATAATGGCACGACGTGGCTTCAAGCAAATAGGCAAACTCACGTCCGCAGAAAAGGAACCCTTGTAATTCTCACTGTTCCAGTTTTGGCAAGTGGTCATACTGTTCCTCCGGTCTTCATTTTTCCGAAGGTAAACTACAGGGACCACTTTATTAAAGATGCACCTGTCGGAAGCCTAGCCGATGCAAAGCCATCAGGATGAAAGGAAGAAAAACATTTTGTGAAATTTGTCAAGCATCTTCTGTTTTACAGAAGATTTTTTAAAGAGCGTCCTATACATTTGCTGCTCGACAACCTTGAATCTTACCTTTCTGTCGAAACCTTAGATATTTGTAAGGAAAACGGAGTAAGAGTTTTTCTTTTCCTCAGCACTGCTTGCATAAGCACTAGATAGAAGTGTTCACGGATACCTAAAAAATACTACAATTCGGCTATGGATAGCTGGATGGTGAACAATTCAGGTAAGGCATTTTCCATATTTGACGTTCCTGGTATTGTAAATTGAGCATGCCTCTAGCTGCTACGCTAACCAATATAATGGATGGGTTCAGTAAAACAGCGAGGTGTCATCTGAATGAGGGTATCTTTACAGAGAGTGACTTCTTGCCATCATATGTTACAGACAGACCTATACCAGCTAATGTAGAAGGAAACGCTACCGAAAACAATAGAAACATTTTAACTATTTAACTTTTAATTCTTTTAATTCTAAAACATTTTCCAGATGTCAACGACAATTTGTCTGCAAAATCATTAACATAGAAAAATAGAACCTGCAAGTTTGATATTGCTTTTTCCTGCAGAAATAAAGCAATTCCAAAACCAAATCTCCGACAAAATTCGAAATCGCGGAAGAAGAGACAAACTGCTATTTTCACCGACACTTTGATAGAAGACGCTCTTACGGAAGAAAGGCAGAACGCGACAGAGAAGAAAGATTTACATTAAAAAACAGCATGCAACCAAAACAAAGACATTAAAAACACGAAAATTAGAAAGCCCTATTCCATCTACGTCTGCAGCTCATCATGACCCTAGATCCTCGGAATCTGAGGGTGAAATTGAGTGCTAAGTATGTGAAGAACCCTATCATGATGACTGAGTGCATTCAGTGTAACCATTGCAGCAGATAAGCTCACATTAAATGAACGAACAAAAGTCATACTTATCACTTTTTTCATGTGCATCTATTGTGATTCAGATGATCATTTATGAGTTTCGTTTTTAATTGTTGGATTTTAATGTCAATGGTCAAAATAATTGTGAAAAATTTGTTTTTGGATTGTGTCACTATTATTACCCTTGTGATATCACTAAGCAAATATTGACTCATCTAACCCCAGGCCGTTAGTCAACTAACCCGCAACAGGGGTTACTTGACTTATTTGGCAAGGCAGTCAAATTTTGAATGAAACTTTTTTTCTACGGAGAACTCGAACTAATTAAGAATGTATGTACAATACCAAGGAGTATAGAACCAGCTGATATACTTGAATTTAAGAGTATACAAAAAATAAATCAGTAACAATTAATTATTGAGAAATAAGTCAACACAACCCGGTCTCCCCTACTCTTTGTTTACAACACTCATGTTTAAACAATTTTCAATAATATTGTTGGGTAAAAGTTTTGTTACAAACTTTCTTTTCATATATAAGATTGGTAAATTTCAGCAGTTAATGAGGTTAATTGACGTAACAGTAATTTAAAAAAGAAGCTATCATGGTTTTTGACATTCAATTTGAACTAAATTCCATAGAGTTCGTAAGAATAAAAACTGCTATTTATTATTAAATTTTTTGGGTACATAAATATAATTATTTTAAACTTTTTTTCCAAATGTTATTAATATACGTCTTAACAAAAAAAAACTAAGCCCCGGATTAATAAGATCCATTCAGTCACATTATCTGGACCGCCCTTAGAAATTAGCTCATTTTTCAAAAAATCTTTTGATAATATAGGTACATTAAATTTCGCAAAAAGTATTCGACCGAACTGTTCATCTTTTGCACACAATTGAAACACAATAAAACCCTTAAGTTCAGTTACATTTAAACGAATTTTAATAAATAATAAAAAAGTTATTAACAATATTCAAAAACAGTGATTTACTTGTTCCTTTTGCAATAACGTCTTATCATCCGATTTTAATTTAGCTTATTTCATTTTGGGTGTATCTTTTTTCTGAAAAAGTTGTCTGTTGACGTCAATTCTCTAAATAGATAACTTTTTAAGTTTAAGCAAAATAATGAGTTTAACGTTTTGATTGCTTATTTAAAAATATTTCCGCTAAAAAATTAATAAATCCCTGGATGAGAGTATTTTTATACTATTTTATACTACACATTTCAACTGTCAAACCCGTCTATGCAGGTATGACAAAAAAATTCTTATTCACTACTAACTTCCTTGCTCTAATAATATATTACTTTGAAACCAACCTGTTTGTGTATCTGTAACTCCCCATCCAGTAACTGTTACTCTAGTAAACTCATCAGTTCGATGTTCACCCAACGGCAAACAAACTGGTCTAGCGCTTTCTAAAACAAAACAAAAATTAACATCAAATAAATCAAGGTTTGCATTTCTAATAATCTAGAAATGACAAAATGTGTGTTGTGTCAAAACCTTATTTAGATCATGACACAAGACACCAGTAAGACAGAGTAACTAAGAGAAGTAGATGACATCAACCGAATACTGGTCACGAATAGATGTCAAAAATAACGAACAGAATTGAATGGAGATACATAAAAAGGTTTCACTATCTATATATCAGAAACTACTTAACCATATTTAACAAAATTGGTTTATGGGGATGACAAGTTACGACCAAATTAAAAAATATATTAACAGACATTCTACATCTGGTGATTTCTTTTTAATTAAAATTATAAGGTACAGACTGTTTCATTTAAAATCATTGACTTACTATGGTTTTAAGTATAAATAAATGGCATACTATGTACTATGTATATACATAACACCTTAGCTAACATATTTAGAAATTCGATTTCGATGTAAATTCCGTAAATAACGTTACCTATTTTAATTTTTAAACACGATTTTCAAAGTGGAAATCGAAACGTCAAAATAAACATATTATTAGAATTAACTAGAAGTTAATTTAAAGGCAAAACGATTTTGCTCCATTTTTTTAAGACGTAATGAACAAAACCTTAAATAAGGGCACATATCTTCAACATGCTTTACGTTGATATGTCTTCTTTATATCTGATGTAAATAATTTAAATTTTTACTCAGTTTAAAGATATGACAACATTTTAAGAGAAACTATAAACGAAAGGTTTATTCAGAGCATAAATTAAAAAAAAATGTGGCAGTTATGAGCTTTTAGAGTAAACCAAATTTTAAAAAGATCGATCAAATAGTTTATCAAAAAGTTATTTAATTTGTAGTTGTTGTTTAATGTTGTTTAATTAATTTATATGTAATTTTTATTTAATTTGCAAAGAGCGATTATTTAAACATCTGTATTTGTCCAAAACAGTCACTCTAGAGGTTTCATGTAAATTGCAATCGATTCTTTACAGGTTTATTTTTAAGGTAAAAAACTGCAACATTTAATTAAATTTGCTATTAAAACACAGTTCGAAAAATTTCTTTTATGTCACATAGTTGTAAGCATGCTCAATGAAGATTCAGGTCTATAAAACAATCATACGACCCGTTGTGATGTATGGAAGCGAAACGTGGACGATAACAAAGGCAAATGAAGAGAGACTACGTGTTTGGGAAAGAAAAATCCTAAGGAAGATCTTTGGTCCGGTGCTTGATGAAGCATGAGGACAATATAGGATAAGAACTAATAAAGAGCTTGAAGAATTTTACCCAGACGCCAACATCATAAAAGAAATAAAGTCCAGAAGACTCCAATTGGCAGGACAACTCAGAAGACATTCTGACGAACGAACAGTAAGACTGGTGTGGAAGGAAGTCCCAACTGGAAGGAGACCACGCGGACACCCTCGTCTCCGGTGGCGAGATAATATAGCAGGAGACCTAAGCACTATGGGCGTGGAGAATTGGATTAAGGTTGCTCAAGACAGAAAACAGTGGAGGCATGTTGTCGAGTCGGCTAAAGCCCACGAAGGGTTGTAACGCTACGGAGTAAGTAAGTAAATAAGTATGCTCAATGAAAAATAAACTTTCCAAAAAAAAACAGTACCTTCTATAACCAATAACCACAAACAGGCCGAGATATTGCAGTCGACAGTTCTTCCCTCCACTTCTCCGTGGCGATATTTTACGAGTACCATCACTTCAACGGTTTATAACTTTTTTACGAAAATACCATAAATAAAAAAGGAAATTGCAATATTTCGGACATGTAATGAGATGCGAAAGATTCAATATCTTGAGACTCAAGTAAGAGAGCTGTTTAAATAGTCGCTCTCGGGGATAAAAAAATTGAATAACTTATAAATTATTTAGTCATCAGTTGCCACAAGAATAATTAGTTACATTACATGTCATTATACTAAAAAGCAAGTTATTAAAATTTATAAGTTACTTCAAAACTAAGGGTTTTTTAAAATTATCTTTGTCAATTCTTTATGTATTTTAATTTTAAAACTATCAATACTAAAGAACTTTTAATTATCTACAACTTTCATTTTAGCCATTTTTCTCTTAAAACTATGGGGACCAAACCATGCAGCAGATCCTATTGTTACAAGATGGAACATGTATAACAACTTAAATGTCATAAATAACACTACAAATTGACCTACTCTTCAGCTCTGCGCTATTCAAAGAAAATATAGTGGATATTGGGCTTTACCAGGAGGTATGGTGGATCCAGGAAAAAAAGTGATTTCAAAACTGGCCTAGATAAATGATATTTATGTGGATAACCCTAGAAATACCGATAATTCATAGGTGGAAAAAGTGGCTTGCAGTTTTCATGACGATGACGGTCACCACGTTGGACAGTTTAACTTTACAGCTGGTGATGATGCGCAAAATGTTACGTGAATGGATATCGATAAAAATATGGAATTGTACGCTAGTCATTCTAATTTTATTAAAGCTGTTGTGAATAAATTAGGGAGTCACTGATGAGATATTTAGATGATAAAATAAGAATGAATTATATGTATTTTCTATACAATAAAGATATTTTCTTAAAAAAAAATGTTAAGTGAAAATGTGGCTTATTCCCAATAAAAATAGTAAATTACATGAACAGCTTTAGATTGTACCACCTAAGATAAATTTATTTTGTTTATAATTTTAGGTTTTCTTTGTAAACGTTCGTTAGTTCATTAGTTTCATTAGTATTATTGTATAATTTCTAATATTAAAAACCTGGTTTTGTGAAAGCCTAGCGTATGAATATTTAGACAGCTATTTATGACAACTTAGCTACATTTGAAACAAAAATGTTTGAAGTATACTGTATCTTAACCCATTTTATAGCTAAAGTATGTAAAAAGAAAAACATTTTTGCATAAGTTTTAAGGGTGTCCGGTTTTGGAAGGTTAGGATACCACAAGAAAATAGCTTTAGAACAATATAGTAATCGAAGCAAGTGAATTTTAAAAATGTGTATAAATGTGTGTAACCATACGTGGTTGAAAATACGATTGCTGATTACTAGATACTTTAGCCAAATTTTTACCTCCCTAGGTGACCACTGGGATCCCTTATCGCAAAAATGTATTTTCTCTGAGCGATTCATTGCTTTAAAAAATCTAAGAAAAGTAACGAACTTACGCTTTAATTTCCAAAAATCCTCTGAAAAAGTTTTTTCAAAATATTCAAATTGAGAGGCAATATGAAACAGTACATGTGTGTGTGTGTGGTTGGGATATTGACTGCAAAATCTCTGGTTTCATTCGCCTAATCATGTTTGACTTTGAGTCTTGGCAATGATTAAAATAAAATCTATTAATACTTAAAATTTACATTATTAATATTTTAAAAACAATATAACTACAATAAAAATTCTACAATATACAATGGTGAACTTACAAAAATCATATATTTTTTTACAATTTTATACAATTTTGTATACAATTTTCCAATAGTTGGTGTCCAGTCTCGTATCCATGCATCTCGTGTCCAGTGGTTATGTTTCTCCAGTATTATCTAGTTCCCCAAGCAGTGGTTTTTTTGTTTTCTGTTTTTTTTTATTATTTTCAATATTTTTTATGTATTTCTTTTATATTATTATTGTTTATTATTTTTGTTTGTTATTTTTTTTTATTATTAAAATGCTTTTTTTTATTTTGTTTTATGTGTCTTTCAAGTTTTAGTATACATTGGTATTTTTACCATTGGTATACGTTTTAGTATATATTGATATAGCAACTTATAAACTTCTAAATCGTTAGAAACTATTAACCCATAACGGTTGATGGGTTTTACTAAAATTTTTATTTTCATAATGGCTTCCCTAAAAATTTTAATCTTTATTTTATTTTTACTACAATTTAATACCATATATTCTAATGTACCATATTCTCCACACTCGCAGTTTGGGGATTTTACAATGTTTAATTTAAATAAGTGAGATGGTGCTAGGGAATGATTGAATCGAAGAAACAGTACATAAAACTTCCAATGAATTTTTATTTTTGGTAATTTATAGGGTGGCCACTTTTTTTGCCGTTCAGTGTACTTCTATACTGGCGTTGTATTAATTTTTCTCTAGGATAAAATGTAGCTCCCAGAGTAGATCATCATAAAATAAGCGACACGAAATAGTTATAAGAATCCATTTACTCTTATACCGGGAGTCCGTTTTGCGAGAAAGAAAAATGTAACCCCGTCTTTCACAATGACAGAAAAAATACACAAAAATTTTAACTTTGCTAAAAATTACCTATATAACTTAAATTTTTTTTGAAAAATTCAAATATTTTTCCTCAGCCTAATTTTTGGCTGTTTGGGTATTAAAATTTGTGAATTTTTTTAGATTTGTTTAAAAAAAAACATATTTTTTGAGATAGGGCTTTTAACTCCAAGCGCCACCTATAGAGCTAAGTTTGGCTAAAGGGGTTTCTAAGTATGTACTTTTAGGTACCCAACCCCAAAACCCTAAATAAAAATCCAGCTGAGTGCAGATTTTATCATCTAATCCCGCTATAGCTTTTACCTGATATTAACTAAGAAGAACATAACAAGAAGAAGAAAAAAACGAGTTGTCCTCACTTTTATGTAGAAAATAAAGTAATTCATTTGAGTTCACAGAAAGAACGTATAAACAGTCTAAATTTATTGCAAACTTTTCTTCATATTTTATGATAATTAATGATAGTCAATAATATATTACTCACCAACATCTAAATTAATTTTTGCCACCCTTAAAAGTCCAATATCGTTTGAAATTATGGTAGCATTAAATTGGGGATGAGGAATAATTTCTTCTATGGCCAAATCTTGAACAGGATCTTTAATACATTTTTCAGATCCGTCTATGGCTATAACACAGTCACGTCTAGTCCTAGTATTATATTCTCCTACTCGTACACCCAACCTAATAAAAAAATATCATATTATTTTTTAAGAGCCTCAAATATTATTAAACAGTATAATGTTATCGTATAAAAATAGAGGAAACTGGCTAAAAGCAACCTTTCAATATAACATAATACAAAACATTGAATCCTTGACGGTATATTTACCGTCAAGGATGCATATAAACCAGTTCTTTAAGTTTAGTCTAAAATTAAACTTTAAAAATTGTGGAGTATATAATTCAACGCATGTGTTAAAATCTGTATTTCTAATGATTTTTATTCTATTTGACCTGTTGCCATTTGATGTCCATAGAGTTCTGTAAAGCGTAAGTTTTGTTCGCCAAACCCGGTTGATCTTGAAATTTCGATAGTCGAAAATATATCTTAGATAAAAAATACTTATCCAGGCTTGAATACAACTGTCATGTAACCTTCCGAACATATTCACGCTGGCTTCCTACTGCTTTCCGATTTTACATTGGTCTATCTTGCCAGTTGATGAAAAAATGTACTCTGCGCGTAATGTTGAAACATTTCAACAACCGTGATTTATCTATGGTGGTGATCTATTTGAATGAAGAAGATCTAATTACAAAAATATCGTTGATAGACATCAAAAACCATTAATAATGGGTACATGCAGGCCCGAAAGTAGGGGTGGACCTTAAGGCAGCATACGACAGTGTCAAGAGAACAGTACTATTTCAGTAAATGCGTGAGTTTATTATACCAGAAAAACTTATCCAATTAACGAGAATAACAATGTCTAACTTAAAAGCTAACGTTAGAATACAGGGAGAAAATTCTCGATCCTTTGAGATAAAGGATGGACTCAGACAAGGGGATGCCCTGGCTTGACTCCTATTTAACACTACCTCAGAAAAGGCAATGCGAGACACACGAATTAGACACGGCGATACTATTTACAATAGATCTATACAAATCTTGGCATACGCTGATAACATTGACATAGGGCGTAGCAAGCGAGATGTTGGAGAATATTTTCTAGAATTGGAAACGGCGGCGAAACAGGTCAGTCTACTTACAACTAGTTGACAAGGCTTGAACAAGTCACTAATTTTTAAGCAATCAGAAAGTCACAAATTTTCAAGCTATTGAAAATTACAATCCAAAACGGTCAATATAATGTCTAATCGTCGAAAAGTCTTTCAATGTATTCTTTCCATGTGATAAGTTTGTTTTCTGTACTTGTTTGCAAGATCTTTTTTTGCCTATTTATGTACCTCCCTAACATTTCTTTTACATTCTTATGTACCTTAAAATTTGCTTGATTTCTTAATATTTTGTTAAAAACTAGCTTTTTTTAGCTTCCCTAGACTTTTTTTTAACAATTTTTTTGAATTGTTTGTATTCAGTTGGATTTGTTTTGGGATTTTAACCCTTATTCATTAGGTCTTTGATTACCCATACTTTATTTCTGTCATTTCTATAAATTTCTTTTTCTTAGATCTTAGATCTCTACAGTATTCACTGCCTTTCCTCGCTCAACCGTTTCCATCTCTCTCTGTTGTCTCATTCTCCATCTTTTACTTATGGCGTCGTCTTCTGCTATCGCTTGTTCTTCTTACATGTCCATACCACTAGTTCTTTTGTTCTATATATGTTAGTATGTTTGTTTCTATCGATCTTCTTTGCTTTATTTCGTCATTACTTCTCCTATCCATTATTGTTACTTTGCAGCATCTTCGCAGGCATTCCATCTCTGTTGCTCCTATCTTACTGCTGTTTTTCTTATTTATAATCCAATTTTCAGCACCATATGTCATAATACTTCGCACTAATGTTTTATAGATCTGTGTTTTTGTTTTCATATTTAGGTGTCTATCCCACCATACTGAGTTAAGTTGTCGGATTACTGTTCTTGTTTGTCCTAATCTTTGTGTAATTTCTTCCTCTGTTGTTTTCTTTTTTGTGATTATAAACCCAAGTATTTGAATTTATTCTTTCCTTTGATTGTAACGTTGTCATCAGTCTGTAGATATTCTATGTCTTCTTCACTTGTAGAAGGATACTGTCTAAAAATATATTCATTGATATTGTTATGGTGATGCGCTGGAACGCCATTCAGTAACAACCACATATTTATCCTATTGACCTCATCTAAGTAATCTGGCAACACGATTTGTAGAAAGTGTAACAAAATTTTTACCATTTAAATTGTTTGAGAGAAACAATGGCGCTATTACGTTATCATCCACAATTCTTGTCCAAAAATTGACTTTAAAAGTTCTTTGGTGATAGGAGACATTTTTTGCGTTGAATTTTTCTTCGGCCCAGCTATGCGTATTACAATGGTTCATAATGCCATTTCGTCAAAGCTGCTAATAAGGTAGCTTTGTCGGTATTGAAAAAATTTTAGGGCAATCCTTATACCGTTATTCTTGAACAGGTGTTAGATAAAGATAGTGATAAAGATAAAACTGCCGTTTCTTGAATCTTTTCCCAACCATCATATAAGAATCATCTAATGATGATTCTTATATATATGATGTACCTCTACTACTCTTGTAGTACTTCCAGGGATTTCTTAAATTGCTTCCAAAATCTCCTCACCGTTTGTATCTACTTTTGGTCGACCAATATTACCAATAAGTTTGCGGGATATTTTTCCGCATAACGCCTTACAGCTGCTGCATTATCCACTTGACATTCATCTACCTACCCTAACCAAAATTAAGTTGGTCTTAATGATCTTAAATGTACCATAATTGGAATATTAATTACTGGAAATATGTATTGTTGATGCTGATGTTTAATACATAGTATCGCTAACAACAACAAGTGTTATACAGCCAACTACAGAATTTTTGATCATAATAAAAGAGAAGCACAATGTCGATAAAAACTGGGGTCTGGATCAAAAACGTATTGAGGCAAAAAAGTTTTAAAAACATTGTGTTTAACTAATGATGTAATAATTGGAATGTACACAAACATTTGGGGGGGTTAAGGGAACAAAACCCACATCACATTTTTATGGTGCTCACAAATTTCATTGTTATTTTTTTAAGATGATGTTGCTATAATAAACCGCATGTCTATTTTCAATATAAAATCTCTTAACAGTTTTCCACATATTGTAAAAAACCGTAGTTTCACTAGGGCTTACAGCCCTCACTTGTGTACAGCAGTCGTTTTCAAACTTTGTTCACAATACCCACCTCATAAAAATCTTCCTCTGTCACCCCCCTTTCGCAATTGACAACATTTATACATAATTTTCAAATACGAGGCCTATTCTATTAAAACATATCTTTGGTAGAGAATAAAATTATTGAAAAATAGGTATATCTACAAATAAGAACTACTACAATAATTAAGACATATATCCATGGACGTATAAACATAGATATTAAGATACCTTTAACACACAATGTTTTGAAGCTTCGATAGAATGTGATGCTTCCGCAATGAGCATAAGCGTGCTTGAATTTTTACTCGCGGGTAATTATTCAGATTTTAAAAATTGGAAGTAGTAATAATATATAATAGTAGTAATAATGTAAGTAAGTAGTAATAATGTATAAAAACACGTTCAAAGAATTTAAAAAAACGAGATTTTAACTATTAACAAATCACGTCTTTATAGAAAAATTAAAATACAATTTTATTTGCTTTAAAATTAATACAATAAAATATAGTTGAATTCAAGTTAATTTTTAATAGGTGTCAAAATAATGCTACAATAAAAAATCTTTATGTTTTCTCCTAAATTTGCTACCAAAATAGTTCGATCGTCAATATTATTTGGAAACCTACATAGAAAAATAAATGAGTTTTATGCATGTCACTAATTTATTTGCATCCATGAGAAATATTAAATTAAAAAGGTACTAAATAGATCTTTTTTAATCAGATGATGTCTATTTACAATTTAAAAATGTCTACTAATTTCATGAACTTATATCTCATTTAATACATTAATGAACATGAATAAACCCAATGGTACGCCTATTAAAATGTAAATAAACACGCTTCCTCATTTCCTCATCTTAAATAATGTAAATTTTATGGACTTACAAATGAAATGAGAGATCGGGATGTAAATATTTCGTTTATTTTATTTCACTTTTCACAAATATCTCTCAAAATATAGCCAAAATATCGAACAACAACTTTTACTAAAAAGTAAACAAACATGGAACAGCATTTGAAGTTTGACGTAGATCCATAAGATAGAGAAATGTAAACAACCGTTGCCATTTATAAATAGTTTTCAGTACTTCTACATATAAAATAATTGATTGATATCTAAATTATACGTTATTATTAAATGATAATGCACACTATGTGCACACTTTATATTTTGATTACAATTAAATATATTAATCTAACCAATAAATTATTATTTTGGTTTGATAGCACCTGTAGAGTATAAAATACGGAGTAATATTTTCAGCGACTCGCGAATAAGAAATTTTAAAACAAAACGTGACAACAGTTGAAGGTGCTGAGAATGTGACCTATTCAAATAATTTTGACTTCACAATTTTATGTAAATAACTGAGTCCATCTGTGTTTATACGTCGATGCATATATCCCTTTGTTTCATCAACCGATTTATACCCTGGTTAATCAAAGAATTCTTTTACGTGTTTTGTACTTTTCGTCCGACTGAAACCGATTACCTTTTAACGCCTTTTTCAGTATCCCGAAGATGTGAGAATCGCAAAACAATAAGGGACTATAGAGTGTATGGTCTTATATTAAAATGTCACTATACAGGTTTACATTAATATGAACTCTATGTGAAGTAAATTCTAAGAGCAAGGGTCCTTCATGGTTGAAAAAAAAGTTTTTTACCACACGCTGGTTACATTTGGACGGATTGTTAACAACAAACGCCACTTTTAAGTCATAATACTTAAAATTGCAGTCAAATACAAAATGATAGGAACTGATCAATATGACGTAAAATAACATTGTAAAATGTCATTTAAGTGATTACAATTATTTCCAAGGTTAACCTGACCAAATATGAGTTTCAATTGAACAA